GGGCCAGCGACCAACTGGGCCAACGGGAGGGAGAAAGGCCATGGGCTGAAATGAAAAAGAAGAGGGGAGAGAAATGAAGAAACCTTTTTCTTTTTATTTTTAGAGTTTTTCAAAAGTATTTTCAAATGGATTTGAATTCTTTTGAGTTTAAATCAAAAACCACTCAGCATATTAAATACAATGCTCCAGCATGAGTGCATCAACATGTTACTAACTTTATATTTGATTTTATTTTCACAAAAATTATTTCTTTCCTATATTTCAATGCTCACATAATAACATAATTGAATCAAATTTCCTTATTTTAAAAAGACTGAAATTTTGGGTGTTACAACCATGCGCTCCAAATTCTTCACCTGTAGTGTATAGGAATAACGGTGAAGCATATCAGAATTCTCAATTCTGTACAAAGTACCCAAAATTCAGCACTCCAGGCACAGGCAGCATCATCTTGGGTGTGACATGATTTGGAGCACGATTAGCCAGCCATTGACCAGAACTGTTAGGTATAGGCAACAAGCATCATATTCCAGTGTGGCCAGCACGCTTTATTCCATTTGAGGCGCACAATGACAAGGCACAAGGCACCACCATTCCCTTCCCTCTTTCAGCGATGGCCGGCCCTCATAGCCCCATCACAGCTTTGAGCTTTCTTGGGCCCCTTGCACAGCCATGCAGTCATCTTAACAAGCCATGTCATTCTAGGACGAGCTGGGATGTGCTTAGCTGCAAGGGATAAGCATGGCTGCATTATTCTGTCTCCCACTACTGGCCCCAAATCTGAGCCACTTTAGATAACCACCAAATGTGTCGCGGTCACCCTGGTCCTCATCCTTGCCGTTGTGTGTGTCTCACAGTCACAGTCTCAGCCTCTCTCCACGCAATTCCAGCACGGAAAAGCACCACCGGTTCCTATCCTATCTCCTTGTCTTGAGTTGACATGGGCAGTGGTAACTGCCGTTGCTGGTACTGGTGTGATATGTTGGGGGCTGTAGAGAAAAGTGTTGCAGACTCGCAGCTCTCTGGTGCTTTCAGCCGGAACATTCCTTGAGACGAGCAGCTTGACACCAGCTAGTTGCATTGACTGGGCTGCCTTTAGCTTGTTGATTACTCCTACCTGAACACGACTGACAGATATGCAATTCCGATTGAATTCTGTCGCATCATTTTCTGTTCCAATTGTTCCATATACACAGTACAAGCACAACATAGCTGTGTGTTTCAGGCGCCTTGTTTTACAGCTGTAGTGGTTCCACTGCTCTTTCGAGTTTCGATCTGGAAGAACGAAGGTACAGCTCCTGCTGCTGCTGGACACCCCTGCTTGTGTGTGGCTTGCTTTGCTTGCGACCGGGCGACTTGGGAGGGAGACAGCCACCCCGGAGCAACACGTGAAGTGGCTAGGCTCCCCAGGAGCAATGCCACCCACCCGATGTCGTCTCGCGGGAAGAAAACGCCGCCGTGAGCCCGTGACAGCACCAGACGCCCCCGATTTTTTATGATGTCTGCCTCTCGCGCCCTGCGCACGGTTTTTTGAATGCGTTGGTTGCTGCACCTGGGTTGGACGTTTCAATGCATTTGGTCCACCTCCCTCGATCGGGGCACCTGCGCCGGTGCTGGACGGTGACTCACGCCTTCTTTGTTTAGGCCCGTTTAGTTCATTCAAAATAACCAACTTTGACACTATGCAAAAAGAAGATTTTCCGTCATATTAAATTTGTGGTACATGCATGGAGTACTAAATGTTGACGAAATAAAAAACTAATTGCACAGTTTGGTTGTACTTTACGAGACGAACGTTTTGAGCCTAATTAGTCAATGTTTGGACAATTATTACCAAATAAAAACGAACAAGTTCCTGTAGCTACAGTGCTTCATGAAATCAGTCGACGCCAACTTGGTGACCAACTAAACGAGGCCTTATTTAAGCTACACCCACTGCTGGGTTGAGCAGGGTTGAGATACTCCCTCGGTCGAAACAAATGCAGTTTTTAGTTTGTTTATTTAAGCCAAACAATCGTATGTTTAATTAAGATTATACAAAATAATATTAAATTTATGACTTTAAATACGTATATTCTATAATGGTTCTATATTTAGTACATCAAATATATATTATTATCTTTTTTATATAAATTTGATCAAACGTAAGAAGAATTGACTTAATACTATTTTGAATTACATTATTTCTATTTTTGCGTTCACACAGTACAACGCAGACAAAATTACATCCTTTCTAAGGCGGATGTAATAATTATCGGACTTGCTAGCGCCCGGACGTCCGATAATCCGCGGCTACTAGCCTGATGCGCCTTCCCGCACTATGTTGCTCGCCCGCCTGCCCGTTGCTGCTCTTGCTCACTCGCCCGCTTGCTCGCTCGCCTGCCTTCCCGCCTTCTCGCCCGCCCACGCCTGCTCGCTCGTCTGCTTGCCCGCCTGCTCGTGCCGCCCGCACCTGCTGTTGTGCCCGCGCCGCTCCATAGGGACCGCCAAGACCCGCCTTGCTTCCCGTGCACACGTGGGGACCGCCGCCTCCGCTGGCCTGCTTTCCGAGCCTGCTCATGAAACACTTGCAACATGAATAACTTGTTGTAATATACGTCTGAAACATTTGGAACATCCTCTTGCAATATATGTGTATAGCCACTGCAATATATGTAACATACCAATCTACTTTTACAACAACCAGATGAAACACATGTAACATACATCAGAAACAGCTGAAACACTTTCAATGTACAAGGCTAAGCAGTCCCTCGGCCCATTTATTTTTCTTGAAGTCTTCTTGTATTTACTGCACGCCCTCCCATCCCTCGATCTAGTGTTGAGTTTATATAGTTGGTTGTGTAGTAAATGCTATAATTAGTACTCGTATGTTACTGGAACGATCACCGATCAATGTGCAACCACTCCAATTAGTGAAGGGTAGTATGGTCTTGTCATATTAATCTGTCTTAGACTTGTTACGAATGTATTTATTTAGGGGAAGAGAGAAGTACTTGAATACAAATCTAAACGTATAAGTTACATGTCTCTAAAGCTATTGATGTTCGTAGTTTTTAAATTGCCATAAACAATGTCATACAGTTAAATAATAAGATGTCATGTTGAATTTTTCGTTAGAACAAGACTCGACTAGGTGGCTAGCTAAACGCAATGATCCATTCACACCGAACCCAAACACCAACGCCAGCAGTTGTCGTAGTACAACTCGGAAGAACAAATGAGCTCACGCAACAGCGTTTTTCAATGCTCTTTCGTCATAGAATGTGCCTTCGAATTAGGCCCCGTTCGTTTCGTTAAAACTTAGTTTATGTTGATGTTTATACCGATTTGTTGTGAGAGAAAAACACTGTTTCTAAAAAGTATTTCTGAAATAGTTTATTACCCATTTTTATCTTTTACCGTTTTACGGTGGCAGATTGGGAGTGGCCAGTGGGCGCCAGCACACCAACCAAATGCAAGACACCGGGAAGGAACGAACATGGTAGGTAACACTGCCTAGCTGGCTGTACTCCGCCTCCTGCTCTCTTTTTGTGTACGACTGCAACGGAAACAGCGAAGCACAGTCGTCACTCGTCCGCACCCAGCTGCCACACACTCACGACAATTACTGCTCCTGTCGTCGCACTCTGACTTCCATCATTATCCGGCGCCATTCCCACGATGGAATCCAACTAACCGCGTATCCAGGCCAAAAAAAATGATGAACGGTGATGCATGGAATCCCAAAGCAACGCTAATTGAGATTTGGGTTAGAAATCAGTATTCGTAGGACTTTTGTTTTGTATTTGATAATTATTATCTAATTATAGTTTAACTAGGCTCAAAAGATTTGTCTTGTAATTTACAATCAAACTATGTAATTAGTTATTTTTTTATCTATATTTAATACTCCATACATATGTCTAAAGATTTGATGTGACGGAGAGAGTGAAAAAACTTCAATCTGAACAAGGCACAATTCAAATCGTAGTCAATCGACAGGGTATTGTTTATCATTCGTTTGTACCTGGTCGAGACTGACACCATGTGCAGGTGCCGGAGACGCAAATTCACAACCTTGGCCTTGTTTAGTTTGCTTCAAAATTCCAAGTTTTTTCACTCTCTCTTCATCACATCAATTTTTAGCTGCTTGCATGGAGTATTAAATGTAGGTAAAAAAAATAACTAATTACACAGTTTAGTTGGAAATCACGAGATGAATCTTTTGAGCCTAGTTGGTCCATGATTGGACAATATTTGCCAAATAAGACGAAAGTGGTACTATTCATCCGGTTGCAAAAAGTTGCAAACTAAACAAGGCCCTTGTTTAGTTCCATGAATTTGGAATTTGGGGCTACTGTAGCACCTTCGTTTTTATTTGACAATTATTGTTTAAACATGGATTAAGTAGACTCAAAACGTTCGTCTCGCAATTTCCCACCAAACTATGCAATTAGTTTTTTTCGTCTATATTTAATGCTCCATACATGAGCCGCAAACATTCGATATGACAGATACTGTAGCACTTTTTGGGATTTTGGACTCCAACTAAACAAGGGCTTATAACGGCTACAAGGTTGCCTTCACTTTTATTCTGAGAGTGCTGTTACTTCTTTCGTTTTTTTATAATCCATATTTTTTAGCTTTTTTTAACGGAACAGTATTTTTTTCTCACAACAAATCAGTAGTAACAGTATTTCGATTTGTTTTTTCAACAAAGCGAACGGACCCGGTTCATATTTACTTGAGAAATTCACTTTTATTATCTTTGTTAACTCCGTTTCAGTAACAATCACCGACTGTATGTAAAAGAAAAAAAGAGAGAGAGAGAACCAAAGATTCAAGAACACTAACTAGTATGGGCGCCAAAATGTAAATGGAAGGCAACATCTGGGCTGTCCTGTTCATCAATCAAGAACAGAGGTGACGAACAAACACCAGAACAGGACGCAAGAAATCGTCGGACACTGATGAATGGGAACGGCGACCGAATGGATCGGACCACCAAATCAATCAGATCAGTTGCGGGAGCACTCGGCGGGGAAGCCCTGCGGGAACCGCCACCCGTCGTCGCAGTAGTTGTAGTGCATGTAGTTCTTCTTGGCCCAGGCGACGGTGCCCCACTCGGCGGCGTCGAGCCGGCGGTTCATCCAGCGGTCGGTTCCGGCGGGGCAGGACAGCGGGGCGCCGTCGCCGTTGGGGACGCAGGCGTCGGCGGAGTACCCCCGGTAGGAGACGACGAAGGGCGCGGCGGACCAGTCCACCTTCACCTTCCCCTGCTGCGTGGCCCAGTAGCTGCCGTCCCACAGCGTGGCGTGCACCGACATGGGCTTTCCGCCGGGGTAGGCGAGGTCCGGGTACCGCCTGAAGCTCCGGATGAAGAGGTCGTCCACCTTGAAGATGACGTTCTTGTCGTTCCAGATGATGGTGTAGGTGTGGAAGTCGGCGGCCGGGTCGAACCACAGGTAGAACTGGTGCTCCTTCTTGCCGTCGCCGTTGGCCCACACGTTGGTGTTGAGCACCACGGGCTGGCCCGTGGAGTTGCCCATGAACTCCATGTCGATCTCGTCATGCCCGGGGCCGTCGCCGGAGGACAGGTAGAAGGAGGTGACGGTCCCGGCCGAGTTGCCGGGGATCAGCTTCATCTGGATGCTGAACACGCCGTAGAGGTACTTCTGACGGGAGCTGAAGGCGCCCCCTGACTGCTGGTTGAGGATGAGAGACGTCACCTGCTGACCCTGCGCGTTGTAGTCCGCCCGCACGTTGCCGTCCGTCGTGAACTTCTCGTACAGCCACGAGTCCGCCGACGCCGTGGCTGCGAGGAGCGCCACCAGGGACACGGCCACGGCACGCTGCGCCGCCATGGGGTCCATGCGCATGCTCTGCTCTGCTTCGCTTGCCTTCTTGGAGAATGGGAGATGAGATGAGAGGATTGAGGAGGAGGCTAGCTGTAGCCTGTTGTAGCTGGCTAGTGGAGTGGAGCCGTGTAGGAAGTTGGTCTGGTGCGGCGGCCAAGCACAGGACGTGGCACCGGCTTTATACTGCTGGATGCTCTGCTTTTGGGCAGGCGGCCCACGGCGAGGGCGGGGCACACGTTTTGTTGATGCGTCGTGGGCCACGGCCACCTCTCTTTTTCCTTTTTGCTTGCGGTGTCGGGCTCGGGCGGCCGCGAAGCTTCGGATCGTGACATTCTCGCCAGGACTAGTATTGCTCCTTGTCCGGGCTGGATCGTGAAAACAGCTTTCCCATACAGCTTTGGACAGTGGCTTCGGTGGACAGAATTTTAGCTGAAACTGGTTAAAAATACTGTTTTTGCTAAATTATTGAGAGAGAAAAACATTGTTCCGTCTGAAAAAAAAGTCAAACAAATCAAATATAGAGTAAGCCGAACGGGGCCGCCCGGAAGGGGAAGAGATTGCCATACAGCTTTCCCAGGTTGTGAATCAAATTAACTAGCTGTTCATGTGCCCCCGTCCCCCGTTCCAGAAAAAAAAAACCTAAATTTAGTCAAAATCAAACCATCATAAATTTAACTAAGATTATTTTGTATACAAAGGTATCAAACACCAAAATCATAAAATATAATACATGATAAATCGACTGTAGAGATGTGATATTACAGAAATAAATAGTATTTTATAAATTTGGTTAAACTAATGACAATTTGATTTTGATTAATCTTATAAGGTTATTTTTTTTGGGGGGCGGATGGAGTGGAGAGTACGTTTCGAGATGAGCTTACTACTATTGAAATTTTATCAAATCGTAAGGACGATTTTAGAAGCGGTATATTGTTACATATGGAAAGTCCGGAAATCATCCAATCGTGCTGGAGGATGTGTTGAGTCTATCTTTTATTTGTAAACGGAGCCATGATAGTATTTTACAGGATCTAAACAACCAAACATAATGTTAGTGATGTTTCAGACTGCATACGGTCAAGCTAATTGAAAGCATTCAATGGATTCCAACGGAGCCTCCACGTTCATCATGGGAGATATGCTAGAAAAAAAGATTGAAATCTAAGGGCTTGATTGGAATAGTTTCTTGGGTCTTCGGCTCCTCCTATAACAACAACTGTAGCAACACTACTCACGGAAGCCTTTTCTCTCCTCACGAAATAAACTGGGAGCCTGAAGAAGCCATATTTTATAGCTCCTTCGATACTCTAGAACAGAGCCAGAACCCGAGAGATCCTTGTCAAACATGGCCTAAAATACTACAACAATCAGAAACATCTTGCCTTTTAATTTGGTGTAGACTCCAACCATTGTAACTAGGGCATCTATTCTATTTTCTAAAAAGTTACCAACAGCCTGAAACATGCCTTACCATTATGAAAAATATATATAAAGTAACCCTAAAATTTTCCATCTTAATTCTCGATATTTGCTATTGTGAAAATATTTTAAATAACATCTTAAATTTGCATTAAAATTACCTGCATATACCACTATTAAAGATAATACAAGATAAACCAGCAAAATTGCATACAAATTATTCACTTCTGACGTTATGAGTTATGAAAGATAACATAAAGTATCTCTTAAAATTTAGTTATAAATATCCCAAATATCAATATAAAATAACCATTTTTAAAATATATGCATATAGCACCTCTACCATTAAAAAATGTAAAATATCCAAATGTACGTTTAGGTGAGTTTATACATAAAGTGTGCTACAAAAAATGATATACCATAAAGTTGCAATATATGTTGTATGTTGTTACTTTAGATGAATTTATACATTTTGACTACAATATTATGAGGTATTAATGATGGTACTTTGCATCCCACGGCCATGAGAGGGCCGGCCCAGGTTTTGTCTGGACGAACAAATGGCGAGTCCCTGGAATTTTCACCGCTGGTGTGGTGAGTCACGAAAGCCCCCATAACTGCGACGTCAATTCCAGCCGCTGGCAAATTAATTGGGAATGCCAGAACAGAGGATGATGGATCAGACAAGCGTCCGGCTGATGATGACGGGATTATCCGGTGATTCATTGCGATTAGTTGCAAGTCCACGCCAATCAGGCAAACGTTCATTGCTTGAGCAGTTGGGCTTGGCCGTATGGGCGCGGATGCATTTGGGCTGAGCGTGTACCTGTCGTCACGGGCTCTCTGCCGGATGAGTGCGAACGAGCAGAGGCAGCGGGCCGGGGGCGGTGCCAGTGCGGGCGGTGGTTCACGCGTCGTTGCGCGCGGCGCGGCCGCTGCGCCGTCGCCGTCGTTTCCGCGGGCGGGGCTCGCTTTCAATTTGAGGCGTACACGGATACGGCTGGCAGGACGCGGGTGCCGTGTGCGTGTCAGGTTGAGAGACCATGTTCTTGTGCCTTTCCTGTTCGCTTACGCTGAAATTTAACTTATATTAATGTTGCGTTGATTTGGTGTGAGAAAAAAAATAGTTTAAGCGAACAGGGTGTATTAATAAGGCCACCGGCACGCCCACCGCCAGCCGCGTCCACGTGTAGCTTTTGGTTAGCATGCATTCCAGACTTGGGAAAGGAAATGGCCGTACGTGGTTGTCGGTGTGCCGTTGTACTGGAGTAGTAATCAGGAGCAGGACTGAGACCGTGCGTGTGTTCCGTGTCTCTGTGTACTAACGATTTGTTCTGGTGCTCATCTACACAGAAAAAGCTATGGCCGCAGGACGCTCCTTTCGGTCACTGTACAGTACGGGCGTGATTGGTTGCTGCAGCTCAGTTATCTGCGAAGAAGGCTCCATCCAGGCTCTTTCTAGCCCAGCTAACACTATTCATCCTCCTGTGTGTTTGGTTGCACTTGAGGCTTGCGTACTGGATGACTTCTTTCTCATTTGGTTGTCAGCATGGATCGTCAAGTGGTATGGAGTTGTGCCCCTAGCTCTGTTTGGTTTACCGCACGACAACAGGTCTGGGCACCAAGGTATGGTTCTGGTGAGGTTACCACACTCCTCAGGAAAACAAGCAAGACAGATGATTTGTTTGCCTTAGTTCAATGTGCCTTTTCATCGACAATGACCTTGGAGCATCTAATGACAAATTTAAACCATACAACATTAGGGTCACAACACCTTTCAAGGTCATTGTCATTATAAGTTTACACAGCACATTTTGAGCATCACAGGCAGTTGTAGCAACGAGCAAGAACGAACCACAGGAGCACCAGCAAGAAAAAGGACTACACCACATCCACAACAAATAACACTGGTGTGTTCCTGACCACCTTTGGTGGAGGCTTGATAAAAACTTTGTCATCTTCACAACACATGAACTCCAAGTATGATGCTTCTATCTCTTCTTTGGTAGGAAAGCTCTTGTAGCTGTTGTTTTTAAAACCAGTTATCTGGGCATTGCATCTAGCTCAGGTTGCATATACCCCAGGAACCTTGCCGCAGTACACAACATACCAAGCCATGTGCCTCTTAAAAAACACATAAAAGCAAGTATAAGATATTGATAAGATGAGGGTTAGTTCAATCGATTTGCCTCAGATTTAATTACCTTTTCATTTGACCTTCAACTTGGAGCTTAAGAAACATAGACAACAATAAACCTCAAACAGATAGTAGAAAACCAAGATCATAACAGGCATAAAACCATGAGAGACGTCCAGCCCAACCATCAGATCATCACAACCGCCCAGCTGTTACTTGGACATGGATGTCTCTCATGGTTTGATGACAGCCATGAGAAGCATAAGAAGAAGAAAGAAAAAACAATGCTCCAGTATCTCACAAGTCCAAGGTCATCAGTGTGCATAATCCATTACTCAAACTGGCACTGTTATCTTCATAGGCATGAAAAGGATCTCACAATTATATCAGTCTCAGTCAAAAAAATGGTTGACATCATAGGCACAAAAAAATGCAGGTCTCAGCTAACTGCAAACTAACTTGTGATCATCTTGCAAGCTAACTGCAATCATCCCAGGTGGCAAATAAGAACACAAATTGCTGAGGCAAGTTCATGGCTGCCATGGAAGCGTGCGATACGTCCATCCCAGCCATCCGGTAGGCATGCCTACAACAGTTGCTTGGGAATAGACGTATCACATGGTTTGATGATAGACATGAGAAAACACAAGAAGACAATAAAGCAGCAACATGAAGAATACCCACAGCCACCTCAGATTGCTATAGTTTGCATCATCGGCCAAATAGAAACTCCAACAATAAGAATAACAAGAACAATAACAGCATCTAAAATATCTCAGATCAACTAAGTGACAATCCAAGGTATTTTAGGGCTCAGATCAACTAAGTGACAATCCATCACCAGGTGTTAATGTCTACACTACATAGATCAACACAGTCTCACATCCATCACCATGGCTCCTATGCTATACAAACTAGGTGCAGCCTTGGTCAGGCAGTAAATGGTTCTTTGTAGCACCAGATGAGGTCAGTGCTACACATCAAAATACTTCTTACAGCATAAGATAGTTAGCATGGCTATATGCAAAAGTGAAGAGGCCAACTCATATGCATCTAAGCAAAGTAGGTTGTGCTCAGGTAGGTCCTAAGCCACAGGATCCTATGAGCCTCTGTCATCTAAACAAAGCAAAGTCCCTCAGCCTTGTTCTTCAGTAGGTAAACCAGGGTAAACATGAGTGCCTCCTGTGAGTACCCAGGGCAGGCCATAACACAGCCATAAAGGTCCTGATGCACCTCATTATGCTGTGGAGTCTTGAGGGCATCTCCTACAAACTCCATAGCCTTAATCATTCCATTCATAAGGTCTATTTTCTCTTGGGCAAGCTTCCTTCTGTTGCCACTCCTTTCCTCCTGGCCCTTGGCATCAGAACCCTTAGAGCCTTCCATACCAGAAGGTATTCCCTTTCTAGAATCAGCATCTGTGCCACCTAAGTCAGTGATGTCCACACCACCATCTATATAA